TATACAGAATTGGCAGCTACTGCCTTCTTCTAAAAGACAGAAAATATCAAAAACATGTTTGTCAGTTAAAATGATGACAACAAGACCAAGTTGATTTTAACTCTGATAATTAAAAATCAAACTAGTTTAATAATAAACTTCAACTACAATTGTGGACTTAAGCTGCAATAAGAATATTGTCTAATGAACAACCTGAACTATAATATAAATAATGATGACCTATGGCTCGTGACATAATCAAAAAAGCTTACACTTTCCATATGATAAGGATAGCAAAAGGTGTAATAAAAATTTAGGAAACGACTAAACAAGATTCAATGTTAACATTTTTGTTTGGGAGGGAATAGTCTCATTACGTGTGGCAACATTAGGAGGAAAGTAAACTTTCATTTAGTAATAATGTATTTGTAAATTTGTTGATAACATTAAAGAACATTTGCATATTCTTAATGTATTGTATATTCTAATAGCACTTTAAGTAATTTTTTTATTAAAACTTTTTTGGGAAGGGGGGAATGTGCAGTTTGAATGGAGTAGAATCTTCTTCTCCCCACCCCTCAGTAAATAAAACTCCGCTAGAGCTAGGATTACCTGTTATGCAAAGTAATTGATCACATACTTAAGTATATTGACCTTTAAATGCATTGATTTGCACACAAGAGCACCAGTTCATAAGGATTCTCTTGTACAGGAGCTGGTGTCTTACATTCTCCCCTTACTTCTATTATTAAGAAGAGTATTGCATTCCACATAGCCACAAGAATGTAATCTGGGCTCTGACTAACAAGAATGTACCTTACTCCTACTGGCATGTGTACAGTAGCAATAATTCTTATGACTGCAGATGTGATATTAGAAATGATGTATAACTAAATAATGTTAGTAATTACTGTCATATGCAGCATGAGTAATTGAGTATATATTTGAATGATTAATGCAGCACATTAACTGATCAACAGAAGAAGATGATGTTAAAGGAATACATTAAAGAATTGGTCGTAATATTATTTTAAAGAAAGAAGACAACAATTGAATAACAACTAGTACAAGCTCATTTATGATAGACCACATAAATGTCATTGATATGATGAATAGAATTCCACACATGAGTAGTGGGTGTAAACTAGTAACTATACTAGTGGAATGTGGTTGGAAGGGTTTCAGCATGATTATATGTACACTTGAAGAAATAATGGCTGTATCAGTGTTAAGTGTTATATTTGATCATAAATTGGTTTGCAAGGTTTGCGCAATTCGTTGCAACTTTAAGACATGTACATTAGTTAGTTCTAATTATTTAAAAAACAACACTTGCAGCAATAAAAGTAGCAAAGAATGACAACTACAACATCATAAAGGTAACAGGATATTGTTTAAGGCTAAGCTATACTATACACACAAACACACACACTTCACTACTGAACATAAATCTCATAAAAGCTAACAGGACTGTCTTCATGACCACTATTAGCACAGACCCTCAACTCAATATAGTCAGTAGTCATATTGCTACCATAGTCTCTGTGAAACCATGGGATACCAGGAACATTACAACAAGGACCTTCAGCACTATCACATCCTTGACCATCCCAGAGTGGATCAGATGTGTAGAGAATCTGTGATGGGAAAGTATTAGGATTACCTGATTCACAGAAGTAGTTATCACCAATAGAAGCTGGAACGGATACTGTACTACCAGTATTATATGGACATGAAGCTGATATAGTAGAATAATGACTCAATTCACTGTAACCAGCCATTAGTGTCCAGACATGTTGACGAGAAGATCCGTGAGTGATACTAACACCATCAACATATTTTGCGCTAATATTAACTACTTCATCAATAGCATCAGGTAGTCCATATTGATATCCTGTTACTCTACCACATATCTGAGAATAACTGATACCATTAGATGGAAACTGGACTGATGTACAGATACCACTGCTGAGATTTCTACCACAAGCTCTAACTCCTCCTGATTGGTACAGTATAAACCCAGAAGGACAGTTCTGTGTAGCATCAGACATATCCAGATATGCTAGTCTTGTCCATCCTCCTCCTGAACCACACAGCTCCTCCATATTACAGTAAACACTTTGACTTCCATTGGTAGCAGTTTTCAGTAGATATACACCAGAAGGACTGTTTGGTTGTTTGTTCTTAATCTCTTGACAAGAAGTAGGGATAGGAGAGAAGGAAGATGAGTCATTGTGTAACATGATAAGGTCTTCCACTAGTAGCAGTATATCATTGATAGCTCCAGCATTAGAGGTAGCAGTCTCCTTGATATGAGAGAGAGAAGAAATGATACCGTCCATTTTCTGTTTTATTTCTTGAATATCTTGACCATTGTTCCTGGTAGTGTTGAGTAGTTCATTCAATAGTCCATCATCAGTGTTGTATTGATTGGTATCAGTATTACTGGTATCACTGCAGGTAGTACAGGCTGCAGTACAGGTACTGTTAGTAGCATCAAATGTAAGAGCAAGATTAGAACTACTGATAAACTGAGGGAGACAAGCAATAGCTAGTATAAGAAGAGAGAGCATTATTATCCTCTTTGTAATGATTGTTTACTGTTTACTCCTCACTCCTTTTATAATATTCAGAAGAGCCTGACTAATGACGTCAGCATGATGCTGTATGTAATGGGAAGCATTCAAAGAACGTACTCTAGTTTAGTGGCTCATCAACCAAAAATGTGCAGGTGTTCTGGTAGTATCAATTTATATAAAGTATTGTGCCCAAATAGCTAAAATTATTAACTTATAACTTTGTCAGAATCAGCTCAAACTTTTTACATAGCCATTTTTTGAAAAAAAGTATAGACCATTATAGTACAAGGCATTTTTCAGTAATTGGTTCATTTCTAAAAATGGTCATAACTCAAAATCTTAGTAGTTTGATAACACATCAGAAGTACTGGGACGATTAGTCATTCCTCCAACTGATTGCCCTGCAGTAGTAGGGCTGGTACTGGTATACCCATTCACAAACAGAGCAAGCAGAAGAGCAAGAATGAGATAAAGTCATGAGGATTACAACAACTACAACTATCAGAGCATAACAGACCTTTCCTTTGGCTATAGAAGATGCTCCTTTGACTTTCTATCATCTTTAAATTCATTGACATATTGTTGCAGCTCTGTGACTTCGTAAAG